AGAACAAACCCGGCACAATGCTTCTTTTCCCATCAGCTCCAATCAATACATCAAAAACATAAGTTGACAAAATATGATTGGCAGGTTCAAAATTGGCTCGCCACCCAACAACTAGAATAAAATTTCAAATGAATTTAGCAGAGGAATTACAAGTAATGATAATCACTAACTTTTAAAAAGTCCAAACAAGGAACCATAGTACCTTTTCTATCCACACCTATCTCCGGAAACTTCAGTGACTGGAAGGCGACATCGCAATAAAATTGTACACCGAGCACTAACGCAACTTTTAATAAAGCACATTGTAAGTGACGGATACCTGACAAAAATGCAAGTTTAATTTCTTCCATAACTTTTATAGGCAGACATTTGAACATTATCTACACCATAACAAAAATAAAAGTTTCATATGACTCGAATTGTAATTTCAACCGTAATATAGCCTTCCCAGTATCTTATTTGCTGCTGAGTTATAAACCGATTTCAAGATAGAAGTGAGCAAATCAGCAGAATTCAATTCCCATAAATGCATGTCTAGTTGAGCAATGCCCATATTCGTTAGTATCAAAAGAAATAGAGCAACTGAGCCCTACAATCAACCTCTGAGAAATGCTGATAAAAAAATCTTGCCTTCCCAAGGGTCAAGAAAAATATAATTTTCAAAAGAATTTTCCTTTTGCATGTCAAGGCAAAAGAAGCAATTTTTTAAGCACAAAAAACTACAACTTTCGTACCAAAATAGTTTAAAAATGAATGATTATAGGAGTCCATCAACAAGCACTATGATGAGCGGTCACTTCTAAGATGCCACAATTGCAAAACAATTGAGGTGAAGATATTCTACGAGCCATCTGTCACGCTCAAGCATTAAAAAGGTCCAGCCTGCTATTAGCATGCTTGATGTTGTGAACATACCAATCCTGGTTCGCACCTTGCATGTATTTCTGTATGTACTGTAATTACTTAACGTCCTGTACATCATTAATACGTTTAACTCTCTTACATTTATTTTGCTGACTTGAAAAGGAACGCCGGGATTCTGTCGAAAATTACAACCTTTTATCAAAAAATTCCTGGCTTCCAAGGATGAGTCATCGATTATCAATATTATGTAAAAAATTATAATTCAAATTTAAAACTAGCGCGCACTTTAACTACTAATACAAAGCTAGTCTAAGAAACTGATACGTTTGAAAGCCCAAGGCTCATTTCAAAAGCTTTAATTTCAAAAAAACTGAAATGTTTGGCCTGCAGCAAATAAATAAGTAGGTTCTACTCTTCTGAAGCCAAAGGAGAAAAGACTATACTAGTTCTCACTCAAAAAAACCAGTTACTAGTAAGTTTCAAAAAAATACTTCTGGAAAATAAATTGAAATGAAAAAAAAGAGAAATTTGTACACTTATTTACAGATTTATATAAAACAGAAGAAACAAACAGTGCAAAATTGATTCAACTGGAACTATTTTCCGGAATTAGTCGTACAGCTTTTAAAAACAATCCGGTTAAATCTAATAGAACTAGAAATTTTCGCAAAATCTTTCAATTCTAATCTTAAGTGAATCGTTGAATATGTTTAAAAGATCTGAGTGGTACTTTAAAAATCCCCGAAAATTGAAAAAATGTATCCATTTCGATGTCCAAAAAAGTGATAGAAGTCATTTCAGCACCAATCGAAAGGATAAAGAAGGAACCAAACCTGTTTTCACAGTAGTGAAACAGAAGGTGATCACAAGGACCAACCAGTTTATTTCTATGGTACTGGCGAATATACAGAGGCATCCAAACCGAAGAACTTGGTTTTAAAACTCAAGTTTACAAGAGCAGTTCCTCTTAACATCTAAGTATACAGCGAGTTGCAAAAAATAAACATTTTTTATTGATGTTCAAAATTTGAATTGGATTCATATTCAACCATTTGACCTGGGCGACTTTAACAATGATGGTTTTAAAACTGAACTATTTTTCAAACCAAAGAATTTTTTAAATAACTTACTGATATGGTCAATACTTCCCCTGCAAAATTTTGGATAGAACACCTTGATACCAATATCTTTAAGGTCTTGTATAACAAATGGCCAAATATGGAGAACATTATTGCGAAAAAAGTCCCCACGTTGCTCAACTAAAACAACATAAGCTCCAAGAAGGGCACATTCGATTGCAGCACGTATTCCGCAAGGCCCTAAAAAGAACATATATGGTTCATAAAATAAACTGTTAAACAGTGGAAAATGAGTGAGCTCCATTTTACATTCAAGACTACAAAACTGTAGAAAATGAAAACAGAAACTGCAAAGCATCGCAAAGCTAAAATAAAGGTAAAAAAGATAAACCTGCTCCGACCACCAAGACTGTCAGCTTTTTACAAGCTTCCTGCTCGGAATACTCCTTTAGTCCCGCACGCTTATCCAAATGCCCCCATAGTTTCTGTGCTCGCCAAGACTTTATATTTTCTTTCAATCTGGAAATGTTCAAAAACAATTCTTACAGATACTTAGAACTATTACACAACTTCTACAGATGCCTCAAAATAAAAACTGAGTCGCCGTAAATTTTGTCAAGTAAATTTCGAAACTCTTCTTCTTAACGCTGCAACCCTTCTTGAATGAAAGCGATGATTAGGAAAAACAACAGTAACAAGTAACAGTTAATCTAAGAGTAAGGTCCACTAAGAGGGGTGTAACGATTTCCAAGCCAAAGAAGATATAAATCTTAATTTCACCCGGATTTTCTGCATATCCGTGAAAAGTTAACTCAAACATACCGTTTGTAAACATTTGGCGTGTCTATTTGGTCGATGTCAAGAACAGCGCAAATCTGGTCAAATAATTTTAGTATTTTGGGCACCTCGGAAGAAAAGGCGAAAGCTTCGAACAATGCGTCAACATCCATTACAATAAAATGTTAGTGAACAGCCTAAATAATTTATCTTGTCCAATCAACAACAAAGTAATTTAGAAGAAAATAAATGAAATTATTGTGAACACTTACCCTCATGACAAATTAAAGTCACTAAAAAACTCCAGTGATTATTGTTTGTAACATATCATTTATGCACTAAACGTTAGATAAACAGTTTTTGGTTAATTCTGTTACTACACGAAGTTTGCATCTGAAAATAAAGTAAATTCAGTATCCATCAATCAACCAGAGTTGAACAGTTCTACAGGAATCAAGACAAACGCAGTCACACACTGAAGAAGAGTGAATATTACAGCGGAGAAATTTTTAATAGTACCATAGATTTATGCAGTTTACAACTGCTGAGTAAAATCATTTAGTGTCAAATGCCGTCTATGGCTCAAAGATCTTCTAACTGAGCACCCAAACGCGTTACAGTATACATACAATGCTTCTGGCGAAAATTTACAATCAAGCACAGTTCAGTCGACAGAAACGATGAGCATAAAATACTGACATCAGTCTAACACAATTATCATTAATATTTCCTGTCCTTCATCTCCCTTTACAAAAAACTACTGCACAGTTTCCGAAAAGGGAGCGCTAGAATGATGATAAAAAGCGATCGATCTTTTAACTTTTATGCATTCTTTTATTATAGTAGATATATGTAATATCTACGAGAATTCTAATTATTAAATATATTTAAAAAAGTTACTTTCCGATACTATCCACCTAAAAACAGATGTTGGTAATACAAAGACTATATCATTTATAAACCACAAAAAACAGGATAAATAACAGAATCCTAGCGGTGAGCAACCAAACTTTAGTAGTTCTTACCTTGTCTACCGAAACTGCTAATAAATATGATATGGTTACTTGAAGTGCAAGCTTCCGCAAAAAAAAAAAAAAAAATCAAAATTTTTCTCACCCATTTGTCTTCGTGAAACGCAGTATCAAATGATTGGTAAACTCAGATTTTAATTTTGAAAAGACCTCACAAAATTTTTATGATGAAGGAACTGGTAAAAAAAAAAACCAGAATAAAAAATAGAAAATAACTCAAAAAAAGAGTAGAAAATAAAAAAACTGACTAAAACAAAAGAAAATTTTAGCTAAAGTTAACATTGATTTTGCTGCACTAAAGTTAGCTACAAGTTGTACAACGATTTTTTCAATTATTCGGCACGCAACGAAAATGAAAACTTTTCTGCAACAAAATTGGCAAAAGAAATAAAAATAAAAAACGTAAAGCAGGCTACTCATTAGAACCACAACTGCCCCACAAAATTACACCCCGTCGGCCACAGCCACCAAAAAATCATAACATATTTTTACCAATACAACGTATTTAAAACGACATTTAAATTGGACAAAAAAAAGTAATATTTGACCAAAGTTCTTTCAGTAAAAAAGCTTATAGGGTTACCAGAAAAAAAGAAATAGAGATTTAAAGAATAAAAAGCATCAAAGCACGATTAAAGTACAACACCTGTTCTTATCTTATTATTTAGGAATATTTGAAAAATATGAATCAAATAGATATTCAAGTCCAGAAACTTTTTATTATAAACTTTGTCGTTTCTTTTTGTCAAACTCTGTTCTGATGATAAACAGTTTAAATAAACTAAACCAAGTTTAAAATCGAAACTGTCCAACAAACACCATATGACAGAAGTACAAATTTACACAAATAAATTAGATAAAAATTTGAAATTGCTAATCTTTTATCGTTTTAACGAATTTTTGCAAGTATGTTCAAATGACGAGAGCGAAATTGTTGAGAACAAAAAAGATAACGATACCCACCTCGTTAAAATTTTCAACTTCTTGTTCAATTCTTTTACTGAAATGAAAAACATCGTGAAAATAATCCGACAGCAGCAGTTGTTAGGTATTCAAAAACAAATCAATCAAATATAAGCAATAACCTTCTTATCAAAGTTCAACCAATTATCTGATTACCAAACAGAAAAAATTGACTTCAGAAGAAAATCAAAAAAAAACTCAATAAAATAACCAATTCAAACCAATCATGGAAGTATTTTTGAAGGACAAAAAAAAGATAACATCTTGAAATGAATTCAACCGTTCGTAAGTGAAATATAATATCTAATCAAAATCCACCGATACAAAGTCACCCAATGAATAAATGCTTAAACTAATAAAATCAAAAAGGCTGCTTACCAAGTTGTTCAACTTCAGCAAAATCAGCGATAACCATCGGCAACCAAGAAAATGTTTGAATGCATCGAATTACAGTTTACAACATTAAGCATACTTTCTTGCAAAGCAAAAATAAACAACAGGCGCTAATGAGTGGCAGTAATTTTCACCATAAAAAAAAGCCATCGAAGTCAAAAGAAATGAAAAAAATCTACTAAAGACATAGATCATATAGTCTGAAAAAAAAATTCAGCAAACTATAAAAAGAATCATGATCAACTGTTTTTTGGGCTCTTAGCTGTCAAAAATTATTACTGTTATGAGAGTACCAGCCACTGCCAGATTCTTTTCAAATCTTTACTTATACTGGAATGATACAAGTATCCACGAGAAAGAACCTGCAATTTCAGCTGTATTTGAACAAGGGATACTTGTTTCGGCATCAAAGCTTTCTTCATGAAACAAAAATCGGTACTCTGATGCAGCATACCAATCTGTTTTAGTCAAGGAGTCCACTTCTAAAAATCCATAAAATCGACATGTGCAATCGAGTTTTTGAGCAGTCAAAGACAGGACTTAACTTAAAAAATAATAAGTGAAGAAAAATGACATTTAGAAGTTAACAGGAAAAGACTTTACAATAACTTTCAAACAGTTATTTAAGTTCATCGCTGATGATCGACACATTTAAAAGGAAGAATTGTACAGTATAAGAGCCACTGACTCAGTATCCTAAAATCACAATTACAGCAGGTATCCATAAAAGAATCCTCCTACAACTGTTCAAACAAATTATAAAAGCGCCACAATTAACCATTAGATTCAGTTTAAATTAGCTCTCCCATCAACTGAACGATTAGCAGCATTAAAGATAGTTGTTCAAAGAAGAAACTTTTTTGATACGCAAAACATCTTTTGATGTATCCACACAAAATTCCTCGTCCATAACATGGGTTAACAATTTCAGTTACAGCTTCC